TTGCAGCGCTCGTACTACTCGGATACTTGAGTACCGCAAACGGGGTGCCTTTGCTCGTTGCGCAATTTCTTTATTTTTGCCGGACGGTGTAATAAAGTACGGGTGAGCGAGAGGGGGCCCGCGGACCCCTAATCTGATATCTCGACGGAAGGGGAGCGAATATTAATGTTCGTCTGCCGCGAGCAAAGCCGATGCCGCCTCGCGAGCGCTTTTATGCGGCCACCACCGGTTCACGGGCCCCACGTAATGCCCCGGCACCCTATAAAGCTAATGAGTCACGCCGAGTTCGCGGAGGCCGTAGGTCCCAGCAAACAGGTGCCGCTATAACTACCGGGATACTCACGGGCAAGCAACGTTCATCACGTACGTTAATCTCAACCCTTTATACTCACTGTTTGCATTGAAAAAAGCTCATGCGATCTCTATCAGACTTATGTTGAAGTTATTTTCACTAAGAGTCTAAAGAGTGCAAACAACACTTGCATAACACTTATCACGAAAATGTATCACACAAATATAATGCAATAGATAAATAAATACATTGTTCACTTCGTGTTTCAGTTTTGAAAAGTTATATGATTTATATTTCTTTTCTAAAATTTCTTTAAGCATAAAATCTAATTCAAATTGTGAATTACTAAATTATTTTTTCCTGTTCTCTCCTTCATCCAGCATATTATTTCTCTTTGAACAATTGTTATATACAGATGCTCTTTAATTCTTCAGTTTCCTGTATCTAATTGTTCTGTTTATCTTTTTTAATAAATTCTATAACACTTTTCTTCTTATTCCTGCTGGAATTTATTTCGCATTCAGAAATTTTGCATTAACGTATGATATATTGGTTGATAACTAATATCACGTACGTGAGACGGCAATCCGCTTCGCTCTGAATTCGAGAATGGAATTCATAAAGGATTGGCACAAACTGCTGCATATATCTTACATAAATCTTATTGAAGGCTACGACATGCGATAAAAAGGAGTATAAGTTCCTTGACCGAGATACTATTCGTCTACCGATACTTCGCCAGCCGTTACTTATCGTTCAAGTATGAATTAGTACATTGCTTATTAGAGCTTATCGGCATACAGTCTTACGTAAACGGGCGCGAATGGTGTGGAAGGACGACCGCCTCGTGAATCTATAGAATTCATTGTCGTAATATAATCTTAACGAAAAGTTAAAGAAAGAATTGAATTATTTCAATTAAATATTGATAAATAAAACACATACAGAAATTTTAAAGAAAAATATTTTTAAAAATTTAGTTTCCAAAATCTAATTAATTAATAAAAAGCTTCATACGTTATTAATTTTTTTTATATTAGAGCATTTTCTATAAGTATATTTTTCATTATTGTCAAGTCAACTTATGAGTATCATCTTTGGTCCAGCGAAAAAACCTGTAACATCTACCGGTAGATGGAAGCACAATGTCTGGCGAATCTCTTACTTTGAATCTGAACTAAAGGGGTGAAAGTATATATCTAGCTCTTCATTACAATGTTGTATTTATATTGTATTTCAATATTAATAGATAAATATTGTTATATTTTTCATAATTAGATCAGCAAAATATTCATCAATCGTCGAATTATATTCAATCATAACTTCTATTTATATAATCTTGAAACAATCAATCTTAATCTAGAATTTATACAAAAACATGAGATAGTTTAATTTAAATTGTATCTCAATCTCTTTATTAAAATTATTATCATACAAACAATTCTCATTACTTTTATCTCATGTATATTTAAATATTTTTATCATTAAATATATTTAAATAACATTAAATAACTTAATATTTTTGTAGATCCATCTTTAAAAAATGTATCATCTAATATAAATCTAATTAATTGAAATAAAAAAAATTAACAATTATCCTTCAGAAGATAGAATGGTTTTGCATAATTCATCCAGAAAAGATAAATCGTGTCAGTAGTGCATATAAATTTTTCGATCTCTCATCGCCCATCCTCTTCCTTATAATCGCCACTGCCACCCCCACGCACATCTCTCTGAAACACGTTCTAGCCTATGACCCACGCGCCCGCACTGCTCGAGCGCTCAAAGTCGAATGACGATCACACCCCCACCACTTGTAAAAGCGACGCGCGCGGCACGTACGTCCTCGGCCAATTTCTAATGGTGGGGGCCAGACTGGTCCAATCAGCGTAGTTTTGTCGTACGCCGCGTCGAATCCCAGTTACGTGATTGGCGATGTGCCTCACCTTCATCCTTCTCCGTGTAGGTGAAGTCGCGCGCGCGTGTCTCATCTGGTGCTATCCTCGTTCGTTCTCCATCCCTTCTGTTCCTGTTTCCGTCGTTCCATATCGAGCCAGCGGTCTCCCTCTTTCTTCCCTTTGTCGGTTTTCTCGTGTGGTGCCGCCGTTCTGCTCTCTCGCGCGCGAGAACACGAGCCTGGATCCTCCGGAGGCCAATCCCTGTTGCACCTACCGCATTTCCACGAATCCTCTCTCTTCCCGCGGATTTACGTTCCTCTTCCCGCTGTCTAGCGGGATGCTGCGATCGCGAAGCTTCCTCGGGTCACGCAGATATCGTGGGAGCAATCGTTATCTTGCCGCTGTACTTTAGATTCACGCCGCATTGTCTTAGCAGTCTTCGAATATTCCTTTATAATATGATTAAAGCCTTTTCTTCTCTCCAAATGCGAAAACTTATTAATAAATGTACTATACACTGTCAAGATCAGCGTATTCTTTTTACTTTGAGCAATAGACATAATATCAGGAAAAAGCAATGACACGAAATGAGTCGGACGTACAATCAGTTGTAACATGATATTTGGAACGCGATGATATTTGTCCTGTAGTCTACAGCGCTTATCAGGCAGACATCGCGGTAATCATTACATTTGCACAAAGACTAGTTATATCTGGTTTAATCAACTAGCGATTGCAAAACAAATACAGGACATTATTCACGTCTACCGTCTCTGTACAAGTTATTTCCCGCCATAACCCGATCTGCCTACTCGCAAGAACAAAGAATCCTCAATTGATTTCTGATAAAAAGGAAGATGAGTTCGAAGTTAAAAAGAAATCCAGTTGTGATTTTAAAAAAGGCACAAAGGCAGAGAGTGTGGAGAAAGAGGAGTGCTAAACGATCGGGCTATCATGATCCGTCACAATATTTGCACGTGCAGCCATCCGCGCGCCGTCCGCCGAACAGTCAACAAAGTTAAGATCCGGTCGGCGTGAGATCGATGCGGTCGTATTTCAGGCCGTACGTACACCGTCACGTATGCGTGTGCGACGGCCGAGATAAATACGGAGCCGCGCGTTTAATCGGTCGCGCCAAGTAGAAAGAGCAATTTCGAAAGGCATACACATCGGGAGGGAGTACGAGGCACGTGCCGGAGCTACGCGCGTGCGTCAGCCCGTCGTATTCCGCACACGGTGACACTCGGCTATTTTTGAGGAACGTGATATAAGCCCCGATGACGTTCGCGCGCGGAACCAACCGCGCGATCGCATACTCGCGTCCGCGTTGGAATTACCATCGCCGAGCGATCGGCATATGTTAACGCGCCCAGCCGGTTCTAATGACCTTTGCAGACGCGAGACTAATCGCCGATCCGTGGAAATGTTCCATCTCATTGTTTCTCGTTCTGTGGGTGCAGCGAGGAGTTCGATCTCTCGTCCGAACTTATGCAAACGATGTCGTCGTCACGGATGGTGAACACGCGCGGTTGGAAATTGGAATAGCACCTAAAGAATTTGATTTGAATCCGGAGATTTAGGGATTTATGTAATGTAATCAATACGGATAAGCCGCTAAAATATATATTAATGGAAAATTGTAAAATATTTCTTTTTTTTATTTTAGTCAAAAATATTTAATCGTCAAGAAAGTAACTAAACCACGTCACCGAAGTCGCGAAAGGGCAATCGGAAATTCCATCGGAAATCACCGACGTCAATCTCCCCGGCAAAGTCCGATCGATCGGCTTCGAAGAGGTCGGGGAGTCCCAAGGGGGGTCCAAGCCGCACGCCATAGAGGGGACCGAAGTCCAGAGTGGAGGGGACCTTAAAGGCACATCGGGTGCCGTCCGACTGTCGGAATTCGATGGTAGGGGTAGTCAGGTTAAAGCGTCACGCGCTGCATCCCCTCCACCTCGTACGTTCGCCACTGAATGTCCCCTCCATCGAGAGGACCAGAGCCGAGAGCCGCCACCCGCCACCAGGCATTCCACCGGGTGCCACGCTCCGACGGCACGGGAGAAGACGTTCGCCGTTCATCGAGTTAGTCGAGCTCTGACGCCAGTCGTGAGCGGTCGTAGATCCCGCGAGATTTAACAGAGGAGAGAAGAGCAAAAGGGTGAATAATACTCTTTCGTCACACATCTCCTTCGTCGGTTCGTCGTTGGTCTCACATTCGTACCGCGATTCCTTCGATCATTCCGTCATCTGGATTGATCGACGATCGAGGGGAGACATCGATCGACAGGATTGTTGGATTATCAGTGAAGTGATCGATTCGCATAGTGCTTGATCATCGAGAAAAGATTATTCGATTTGGAATTCTGTGTTACAAGAAGTAAAGTAAATAATGGTGGTAAATAATGGAGTGGGTGCCACGATGCCGACGGGCGTCGTCACCGTCAGCGCTACACCACCCGCGCAACACGTGCCCCAGGAGGCTGGTCAACCACCGGTACAAACCACCCCGACGGCTACGACTACGAGGAGAACGGGAGAAAATCGACGGGTTAGTGTCAACATGAAAAAGATTCTTTGTTTTTCTTCAACAACACATTATATTTTCTATCCGGAATATTGACTTCAAATAACGACTCGTGATAAAAAAAAAAGTATCGTTAAATGTTCTTAATACGATAATATTATTCTCAAATTTAAAATATTAGAAAGAGCGATGTAATTTGACATAGTATAAAATAGAATCACGTATGTAAGACTGAGTCGGTTAAAAGCTAGAATTGAAGAGAGTAATATTTACCTCGCGTTCTGTATTTATTTGCCTTAAATGTCAAAAATGTCAAAATAATATTTATATTCATTTGTGCTATTAAAATCCACTGTAATGACAAGCCGAAAGTTCGAATGATCCGTCATTAAGTCATCAAACAATCTTTAATTATTTCTTAGTCATCTATTTACAATGAATTATACAAACATTACAAGTCGATTTTAGCATTTAATTTTATATTTTTTTTCTGACACAGGAAAATTGAATAAATGTATGACTTTAAAAATAATAAATATGAAAATATAAAAAAATCTTTTTTAGACTAAAAGTAAAAACGTGAAAAAAAGAATGACATGTGAAATTAAAATAGGTACTATATAGCAGTCTTCTTTACTATCTATCGAAGATGCAAATCGTAAATCTCAAAGTAGACTTTTTAGGTAGAGAAACCTTCATAAAGACGGCTCTTTTTTTTTAAGATCTTTCGGCACGATACTTTATTATTCTCAATATTCATCGTCTCTAATCTGTAAATTCGTTTATAATCAATCATGACTTTCATACTTTTAGTACTTCTATTATTTTTTTATCGATATTTCTATTTACAGAGCAATAAACCCATTATGGAGAAAAGACGACGGGCCCGTATTAACAATAGTTTAAATGACTTGAAAACTCTCGTGTTGGAATCTATGAAAAAAGACGTAAGTATTTTGACATTTTTCTTTCCTACTTCTTGTATCATATATTTTTTAAAATCGTAAAACATAAAAAAATTATAAATTCTTTGAGAATTTGAAAAAAGAAAAAAGAAAGAAAAAGAAATTATTTCTGAATATAATTATTTTATATCGATTTTTTTCCACATATTGCTTTCGACAAATTATCCCATTAATTTGCTCGATGGAATCGTCTAATCGTTCTTTTGTTCTTATTTTTCTGTTACAGCCAGCAAGACACTCGAAGCTCGAGAAGGCTGACATTCTGGAACTGACCGTGAAGCATTTAGAGACCCTGCAACGACAGCAAATCGCTATGGCCGCCGCAGCAGATCCGACCATCCTCAACAAATTTCGCGCCGGTTACACGGAGTGTGCCAGCGAAGTTGGCAAATTTCCCGGTCTGGACGCTTCGGTGAGGAGACGTCTGATGTCCCATTTGGCCTCGTGCCTGGGTTCAGTCGACGCCAACAACGCCAACGGCCAAACGACGGCTACTCAGCAGCCTGTCCAACCGGCGCCTCCGACGACGCAATTACAAGTGCACATTCTGCCCCAAGTTGACGCCACGCCGCGCATTCAAGTCCAGCAATCGAATGGCATTTTCTTTACCAATGCCAACGGCACCGGCCTGCAATTATTGCCGACCAGATTACCGAACGGTGATATCGCCCTGATACTTCCAGCGGGAGCGAAGTCGGCGCCAATTACATCGTCGCCGTCTTCATCCCCGGCGCCAAGCTCACCGTTACCAACTTTGATTCCGATTCCTCAAAGAACCGCTAGTACCGCATCCGCGTCGTCAACGAGTTCGTCCACCAGCTCGACCTCCACATCGGCGGGAAGTCCAGTGGCGTTCGAGGCACCCCCGGCGTCGTTCCGCGAGCAATCCACCGCCTTCAGTCCGGGCAACAGCCACAGAGACGTCGCGACGTCCCCGGCGAACGGCTACACTAGCGAACCGGAATTCGATTCGCGTGTCTACAGCCCCCCTCCCCAGAAACCTCTCGCGTTGGTGATGAGGAAGAGCGTGGTACCGCAAACTGAAGGTAAACCGTGGAGACCGTGGTAAAAGGAACAAATGCGACATGTGCGTGATTGAAGTGATATAAACTGACACGTGTCGATGGTAATCCGCGGCCAATCGACCGCGGCTGAAAACGCGCCAATTCGACGTGCCGATTTACGGGACGCGTAAAGAATTTCGCGGAATGCAAACATGTTCCTCAATTACGTTAGATCGTTGTAGACGCGCGTGGTCCCGTTCATAAGATATCACCGTGAAATTAGAGAATCGTTGAGAGACGCGAGTTTGTCCATTCGAGTGCACGTGCACGGTCGGCCAGTAGCCAATGAGGCAGTGCCTTATTAAATAGTGCCTTGTAAATAGATCGTTAAATTTCAACGCGGAAAATGAGCGTCGAAATATCGCGTCAATCATTTTTGTCTCTATCTTGCATCTTCCATCCTTCTCCCCTGTCGGTTCTTTCTGTATATAAGTTATATTATATTTTAAGTGCCTTACGCAACAAGAATCACCGAGGTCTTCCATTCTGTTTCTTGTACGTAAAACGCTAAGCGACTTGTAGTATATCGTTGTAAGCACGAAGAAGTGTTTTTAGTCGGTACGATTTTAGGTTTAAGATTAAGTTAAGAAGTCTCGAGTGCGAGTATGTCCGTGAGTATGTAATGCGAAAATGTACATATGAGAAATAAACGCGAAAGAGAACACGTTATTTATATTTATACGAATGCAAAAGAAGTTACATTTATAATTCCTCTCTTATGAGAATAGACAACCGACGCTTATCATTGCAAGAGCATCAAATAAATGTTGATCTCTTTCTCAATACAATTTCTGTGTCGTTCATAAACCAGCCAACCAATCTCTCCTTCTAAATCTCATTATAATCATACAAATTATATTTTATATATTTATTTTATTTTATATATTTATTCTTAATTTATTTTTAGTTTAATTAATATAAAACAAGATATTAACTTCAAAACTTCTTAAAAAATATATACAAAATATAAAAATTGCAATTATATAAATTTCTTATGAAAAAATGCAACGGAACTATGAAAAGAAATGCTATTTCTCTGGAGATGCTGGTGCTCCGCGACCGTCCAACACGCTGCACGTCTCAAACGAGACTGAACCCGTTCCACGGCGGCAAGTTGCTCCGCTGGCGAAAGTGTCGTCATCTGGCGAAGAAACGCGGCATTACATCGAGTGAACCGACCCGCGATGACCATCCCGCCTGACCGGGCCCAAATTTCTCCCTTCCACTTTCTTTGTCCAAAGTACCAAATGCCAGAACCTGCTGCCTTCTATTGAGTTTCGTTGGAACATCGTAGGATCCTTTTCAGGACCTTAAAGGATCAGAATTCTTTTCTCGTTTGATAATAAAGGTAAGATAATTAAATTAAAGAATTTTGTTAAATATAAGTTATTTTTATTTTCTCATTGACAAGCTTCTCTTCTATCGTAAAAACGGCTGCTTGATCATTAATCAATGATTGAGACGCAATTATCGATATTTTTATCAATGATTTTGAGGCAATCGATTATATGAAAACTGCTGTCTTAAGGCGCAAAATTAAAATGAGAATTGTCACCGTCGAATCTAATCTCTGAATTGGATCCTAAGCGGAGAGATCGCGATAGTTGATTATCGCGCTTGTTTTCTCTCGCGGCCGAATGTTAGTAATTTTCCAACGAGAGGTCGACATTTACCGCATGGCTTAAAGCAGATAAGGCTGTCTCCGCATGCGAAGGACAGTTACGATGTATGTTTAAACATCGTGCCCGGCAGTTACGCGCATTTCGCTCGCTCGTAAATTTGAAATGGTTATTTCCAGCCGCGTTGTAAAAGTGTAGACCATATCTTGAATTATCTAATCGATTTAGATTTTTTTGCATGAAGAAAAAAACACCGTTGTAAGAAAAAATATTTAATATCTACTTCCTGTATTTTATATCTGTATTTTTGTGGCTGTAATAAGAAAATTGTATTGGTAGAATAATTCCCGTGTAACATTCGCCTAAATACGTATCTTAATAGAGGTGAAGATTAAGAATTTCCATCAAGCATCAAGAGACGCAGGTATTGCCAGATTGATCTTTGCGAAAACCGCGAAAGCCTAAATTACCATAATGTCCTTCTCTGCGGGCAATGGCATTTCTGGTACAGCAATTTGCGAGGCAAAAGCGGAGTGCAGGACCACGATGCCACACGCCAAATGACAAATTGCATAGTAGCCTCGTTTTTTTCATGGTACTCTAAGCGTAATTCACCTCTGGTAGGCGGATTACACTAAGAGAAGATAACTTCACCATTTCAAGTAAGTTTTGTATGACCGTGGAAACATCGTATTTGCTGTTAATTTCATACATTAAACATTGAAAAGAAAAGAATAATAGGCTGTTCAAAGTTTCTAACTGGACAATAAGATGTATATTATTAACAACGTGTGTATTTTCAAGTAAGCCGAAGCTTGATGACTCATAATTATTTGTTATTAATTAATGCGTATAAATTTTAAAAAAGAACTTTATTGTTACGCTTTATTTTGTATTTTTATTTCAATAAATCACGAAACATCAACCGCAAATCGCGTAATCGATTTATCATACGCATTAGAATATACGTGTTCATATTTATCTGACTATCCGTCCAATTGTCCGTGATTACGTAAACATTTCCAACAAACACGACTCGTGAGATATCATGCAAGTTGTCTGCGTGAATAATCTAATGGAAAGAAGAATTTGACCCCCACCGAGTACAACGGCGCACGCGAGCCTCGCGACGATGAGCTCGTCTAGACGAGCAAAGATCTTGCCGTCCTATAATTGCGTTCCTATTCTTTTTTTTTACGCCCTCAGGCGACTAGGACTAATGATCATTAAGATGACAATGGCCGAGAATTGTAGTCTGAAAAATTTAATTATATCAAACCCGCTCTACCTGCAACTAATTCCGTGTATTACACGTTATTTGGGATCGCGCCAAAAACTGCATTCTCCTGCGGATTCGTTTGGAGCCTCGTGCAACGGTCTGTCTTTTCGGCGAAAAAATTACCATAATGCGCTCATTAATCTCACGATGAAAGGAACGACGAAAGTCGCGAAACTGGATAGTCGGAGTTTCTCCCTGTCTCTCGGAGAATTTCTTGTTCGCCGTTCGTGAATCTGCGTCGGGCGTTATCTCCGCATTAGGAAATTCCCGACCGCTCGCTCGTCTGCATTTAACGGACGTCACGCGCCGACTGTATACATTAATACTCTACGATGAATGATTGAGTCGACGCGAGGCAAAGGCCTAGCATAGAAATCATCATGACGATAATTCACTCATGTGTCGCAAAAGTTAATTACCGAATGTGAGAAAGTAGAAAAACCACATCACCGAACTTTTTGCCGTTTTGCCGTCTTTGCCATCGTCTCAAATAAATGCACATTCAAAGTACCTTGAAACTAATAAACCAAGTAAAACATAATTAAAAGATAAATGTCACTTGTATCAGCTCTATTAACATTTATTAGTAAATAACATTCCGACGTTCATTATAATGTGGAAACATTCGCTTGCAAAATATTGTCCAATTCAAATCGCTGTTATTCACAGCCACGTGGTTATTCCCCGAGAAAGAGACAGTTAGACACGTTTCGTGCCTTCAGTCATAATCCGAAACCTGATTCTATTCTCCGCCTCGTAGGAGACAAGAGCTCGACTCTTCCTCGGAGTGGCTCTTCTCTAGGAATTCCCCAATCGTTCGCCAATCAGCTGATTCTCGGAACCTCGCGAGCGCACATTTGCTAGCCCGTCGCTCCGGCTTGGCTCGACGTACGGTCGCGGCCGCGCGGTTTCAAGGATACGGCAAGGTTGACACGCGCCGCCACTCACGGGCGAGACTAGTGAGGGGACCTGTCCGATCTCGCTCGCACTATCGACGTGTTCTCCGTTTCACACGTGCGTCCCAGCATCGCACGTTGATGCTGCCAAGCATTTAAATCGCGGACTTTACGCCAGAATTTCGAGTGTCGGCTCGGAAATCAGCAGACGCATCCTCGAGCACATGACATCATCATCACGACATGCGCGAGGTCTTCAAGCTGTGCACTTTGTATTTCAATCGTT